CTCAGAGCTGGGGACGCTCCACCGGGGACGCCGGCTCGACCTTCTAGCTCCCTCGCTGTCACGGCGGCTGGACCCAGCAGCGGGACGGAGCAGCCCCTCGATCACATGGACGTCAGCAAGCGCCAGCCGGGGGGAGGTGATGCCAAGCGCATTGCAGGGCTGCCACCGCCGCCCCCGGCCGCAGGGGTCTGCCCGGGGGCTGCCAGCACCATCCCCTGCCCCCTCATCCCACCCCACTGCTCCCCAAACCCGCAGGCAAGGTGCCAGGGCATCCCCACACTCCACAGGGGTACCCGGGCCGTAACCCCCGCTGCAGTGGGCTGAGCTGCCCCGGAGCTGGGGGACCCACAGACCCCTCCAGGACATCCCATCCCCGGTGCAGAGGGCACGGCTGGGCCCCAGGCTGCCACTCCATCTCTCCCACGGCTACTCCCCCTCTGCCCACCTTGCTGCAGGGACGGTGTGTCCCCATCCTGAGGGCTTCCCCCAAAACCACCCTGCCCCAAGCAGCAGCTCCCCCAAAACCAATCGCAAGCAGCGAGGAGCAAACTCAAGGCTTGAAATCAAACCGGGCACCAAGCACCTCCAGGACTCACAAGAGCCAAATGATGGACGGCTACTATTTGCCTTTTTCAGGGGGACCCAAAGCAAGCAGCCAGGGCACCGGGCATGGCATGAGGGTCTCTGCAGCTTGCCGGCCCTGACCGCTGCTGGCGGAGCTCAGCCCCAGCTTTCAGGGGGATTTTTGCAGTGAAGCCGCAGTGGCAGGTGCTCCCCGACGCTGCCAGTCCTGGAGCAATCCGATGCCCAAGTCATCTGGGTTCATATAGGGACTAATTTTAAACCTTGGCAAGGAAAAGGAGGAGAGGAAAGCTTCCCTGATAGCTAGCCTTGCGCTTAACCCTTCACTGCTGAGCAGGGCTGTGATTGCAGGTGGCATTTGTGCCCACTGAGAGTGGAAGAGACCTGCGCACTTGCTGGTGTGGTGGCCTTGTGCAAGTGTGTGTGTGTGTTTGTGTGTGTGTGTGTGTATTTCAAACCACCAAAACCCTACAGCCTGGCTTTGCAGGGAACCAGGGGGACGCGGCTCTCCGTGCTGCCTGAATGGCATGCTGCACCCCAACACCTTGGGCTGCTGCTTGGGTGCTGCAACCACCCTATGGTCACCATGTGAGGGGGGGTCCCAGCGCTCAGCCTGGGGCTGCCCGGGTGCACCCTGAGCCCCCAGACCCAGCTCCCCGCAGCCTGGGCTGGTGGCAGGGCAGCCCGGCGGGCGCCTGCTGAGTCACTGCTGGCTCCAGCCCTGGCACAGCACAGCCGGCAGCACCGCAGGGACATGCACACAGCCCCTGCCTGCTGCTGGATTTGCAGCGCCGGAGGACATGTGCAGACCCACAATGAGGGGGGATGTGGTTCCCCTCAAGCCGAGCTGATCCCTCGGTCCCCAGCTTGCCCAGATACCAGAGAGATGCTGCCCCATTCCCTCTCCTCCACTGAGGGTCATGCCCAGCGTCCCCAGGCCACTGGCAGTTGGTGGGAAAGGGAGGTTGGTTCAGCCTGGGGTCACCAGTACCCTGCTGAGCATCCCCGGCGTGCCCTGCCAATTCCTGCGGTGTATTCGGGGTACCACTACTGCAGACAGAGAGAGCACAAGGGGAACATGGGCTGAGGGAGCTAGTGAAGCTCTGGATAAGGTAAAATAATCAGCCTCGTGGGAGGATCACTGCAGCATTCCCTGGGCATGAAGGGAAAGATCCTTGTGATACTGCCTACGGGTCCTGCTGTCCTGGAAGTGGGCGTGAGGCCCATTTAGGGCAAACAACTGGTCTAACTGCTTTAAATATTTCCTCTCCCTTTTTCCCAGCACTCATGTTGGGCACAGTTCCTGCTGCTGCTGCATCTTTCACTGACACGCGGCTCCTGCCAAAACCGAACCAGTCAGAGTGTCAACAGCTGCCACAAGTGGGGTGACAATACAGGGGGCTTCGAGGGTGGCTGGAAAGTACCAGCACAGGCCCAGCCATACGCCTGCTTCCCCGGTACTCATCGGCAGCGCTGCGGGAGACGGGATGGCCCCGCACGCTCCCTGCGCTGCGGAAAAGCGTGGCCAGGTTGCAGCAAGGACTGCTGGCTTGGCTGTTTTTTTTTCTGACATTCCCGAGGCTGCCGCGAACAGCCTGTCTGGGTGTGTCGCTGAAGCACAGAGGGAACGGGCTGGGCAGTACTGCTTCTCCGCCCCAGCTGCAGCTCGGGGCTGCTGCAACCCGCCGAGCAAGAGCTGCTCCAGCACCCACGTCTCTTCTGCCTGCTCCTGGGGAGCATCCCCCCCCTCCTTGTGATTTCTAAACACAAAAGAGAGAGAAGGGCATGGCGGAGATCCTCCTGCTAACCAAAATACAGCCATTTTAGGTTGAGAAGCTGTAAACTTGTCTTTCAGCACCCAAAGCAGGTCGGGGTGTGTGTGGGAGCAGCCTGTTAGGCGTAAGCATGTTAAAAACAACGGGTGGACCCAGGCCGAGACAGACTCGCTAATTAAATGCTGATTTACTTTTATGTTCAAGCCAGCATGATACTGCCTGTGGACTTACCATTACATTTGTTTATTAACTTGTTTTTCATGCCAGTGCTGTGCGTGCTCGCCTCTCAACACCGGCAACCTTGGGAGAGGCAGCGAGGAGGAAGATGAAGGCTGCTAGTAGCTGTCAAAAGCAGGACGTGCCTCTCCCATGCAGGAGCTACTTTTTGCAACTCCGGAGGAGCAGGAAGCACTGGCCCAGGCTGGCAGAGGTTTTTCCAAGCTGCCTCTGGGGCTCGGAAGGGAAGCGGGAGGCGGAACAAGACAGCAGCTCCGACCAGCCTCGAGCACTTCAGTCCCCGGGGTGGGATGGGCAAGTCCGGGGCAGATACAAACAGCCTGGCTGGCCCGAGCCTGCGAAGTGATCCGCCTGCGAGCCCGGGCAAGGCCTTCCTGCCCACCGCCCGGCACTGAGCGGGGCCCAAGCCCCAGCAGGTGCCCGGGGCCGCACGCTAGAGGTGACTGAGAAGCTCCGGCCTGCCGACATGGCGGTTTCATGCACCCGCTCCCAGAGCGCGGGCACGGGGCACACACGTGTTCTTTTGCGGCCAGAACACCCTGTCCCGTCCCACTCCCGGAGCTCCGGCCCGGGCCCGCACCCGCGGGGCTGGCGGGCAGCGACACCGGCGGGACACGAGAC